TCCTTTTTCCTTTTTCTCCTTTTTTCTGTTTCTTTTCTTCCTTTTTTGTTTCTTTTCCTCCATTTTATTATTTTCCTTCTTTTTTCTTTTCCTCCATTTTTCCTTTTATATTTTTCTTTCTTTTCTTCCTTTCCTTCCTTTACTTCCTTTTCCTTCTTTTCTTTTCCTTCTTTCCCCTCCCCCCCAGAGAGAAACCCAGCAAAACTGACCCATTATGGACAAAACACAGCAACAAGTACGTCTGGGCCCAGCAAGGCCAACTATAGCAGCTATCAAGAAATAATCGCCAACTCTCTCCTAAACCTAGGCCAGATAGCGGAGGAAACCCTCGCCATCGAAGGGCAGCTGCCTGAAGCCGAGCTGCAGGTCTCCAAGCCGCCATCCAACGTCGTGCACCTGGTCCACGAGGACGCAGGAGAGGAGTTAGTGGAGGAGGAGTGCGACAAGGAGATCATCATCCAGACGGAGGATGCGGAGGAGGTCATCGAGGTCACCAGCGAGCGCAGCAGTGAGTTGTGTCCGGAGCACCGGGACGAGGCGAACTGCGAGGAGTCCTGCAAACTGCAGAAGGCTGAAGGGGAAGAAGAGGATGAGGAGGATGATGAGGAGGATGAAGATGAGGAGGAGGAGGAGGAAGAAGAAGAGGAGGAAGAAGAAGAAGAAGAGGAGGATGAAGAGGAAGAGGAGATGGCTCCTGAAGTGATCTGTGAAGAAGCTCCTCACGCTTCTCAGGACGCCCAGAAAAGCCACTGTGAAGGGCAGTTCAGCCCGAAGCCCGAGTACTCGGTCATCGTGGAGGTCCGGTCAGATGATGACAAAGACGACGATGCCCGCTCCCAGAAATCAGCGGTGACCGACGAGTCCGAGATGTACGACATGATGACGAGGGGGAACCTGGGGCTGCTGGAACAAGCCATCGCGTTGAAGGCTGAGCAGGTGAAAATTGTGCGGGAGCCCAGCCGGCTGCCAGGAGAGCACGTAAAACACTTCCAGGTGGACGAGAAACAGAGCAAACCGCTGGACAGCATCCGAAAGAGCTACTATGGCAAAGGTATGGGGACGAGGCCTCGCGTGTCCCTTCCTTCCCATCCCCAGCTGAATTTGTCTGCTCAGCCATCCATAAAAACCAGGCTGCTGGGGGGGTTTCCCAGCCTACAGAGGGAATTTAGCCACAAATCCTCAACGTCCAGAGGGATGGGGACATCCTAGAGGTCAACAGTGAATGCACAAAATGATGGTGTCCTCTCCATCTCAGCAGGGAAATTGCCTGGCTAAATTGCCTGGTGGCCTTGAAAATCTCAGCCTGAGCAGTAGAGCTGGTTTTAAAATCCAAATGGGTTTTTAAATAGTCGTAGGAGTCCGGCCACAGCAACACAATGGACTTGGCAGGGGCTGCAGAGTCCCTGGGTGCTGAGCTGGGCTGCCTCGCTGTGGCAGGTCCGTGCTCCCCTCTGGGTTGGTTACTCAAGTTGCTTTGCTGGTTTTAATTTTTGAAACTTCTGGTGTTACAATTCCACTTTCAGGGAAAAAAACCTCCAAACCCAAAGGTTTCTCCCTGTTTGACTGGAAAAGGGATGGGAAGCATCCTTGGCAATTTTTCTCTCCTTTCCACCTCTTCCCCTCCAAATCCACTAACTGCTCCCACCACCCTCTCCCCACAATCCCTAGATCCCTCAAGACCCGAGAAGCGAGAAATCAAATGTCCGACTCCTGGCTGCGATGGGACCGGCCACGTCACGGGACTCTACCCTCACCATCGCAGCCTCTCTGGTTGTCCGCACAAAGACAGGATCCCTCCCGAGAGTGAGTACATGCTGGGATAACGAGGGTTGCTTAAATTACTCTGGAGCCTTATTTCCTAGGGGAAATTTCACACCTGATGGGTAGAGCTGTCTCAAGGCCAATGAGCACTCCAAATAGTCCCAAATGATGTGGATTTCATCACTGAGTCCCTAGCACGAGCCTGATGTCAATCCTTGGGGTCTAACAGAGTTTCTGGCAGGGCTTTGGTGCTTTTCCAAGTTGTTCCAGGATGCTTCTATCCACCAAAGTGTTATTGCTCTTCACGGGAAACACTATGGAGATTATTAGGAAGTCCTGCCCTTCTTAAAGATTTTTAGCACCATCCTGTGGAGAATGAGGTCCCTTCTCTGAAAAGAAAAAAAAGAAAAAAAAGAAAAAAAGAAAAAAAAGAAAAAAAGAAAAAAAAGAAAAAAAGAGGTGCTTTAAACATGACTGCCCACCTTCAGAGACGCCCTTCTCATCTTCACACTGAATGTCACATATTTTTCCCTCTTTGGGATATCATGTTGGGAAGAAGGGGAAACTGTTCTTCCTTGCTGGCCAAATGCGCTGAAAGTGTTGCCACGTGGCAAAGGAGAGGAGTCACTGAGATGCGCAGGATAGCTCCTGAGTCTCCTACGCTCTCCTCGCTGTATAATTCACAAGGTGCTATATCGAGATTCATCTATTGGACAGAAAATATTTATCAGCATCATAACAGATTTATATATATATATACACATAGATATTTTATTTCTATCTCTCTCCCAGCATCCTGAATAGCTTTCTCTGTGCATATACGTAAAAATCAATGTTGTATGTTTATGATAATGGCGTAATAGACCAAAAAAAAAAAAAAAAAAGGAGCCCTTCCTTGTCAGTAATTTCAGGAGTTGCAGACTCGCCATCATAAACACAAAACTGCAGGAAACAAGGAAAAAGTACAGCTATCTTCACACAGGCTTGAGAGCAATAAAAAAATTATTAATAAATAACTAACACGAGCTGTGTGCTTTCGAAAGGCTTGCAAATGAAATTATTTCTTTACTTTTAAGGTCAGCGCTGCAGGAAGCAATAATCCTGAAGATTAAAATTAAAAAAAAAAAATCAAACGAAGACTAGTCCTAAGGATAAAAGCAGAGATACAACTTCAATCACTTAGAACTACCTGAAATTGGGAGACCTGGCTCCAAAACAGTGGTGGGCAGGAGGGGCTGGATGGGGGGAACTGGATTGCAATCAGCAAATGAGGAGGAAGCCCAGGCTGTGTGCAGAGATGCTAATCCAGCCCTGACCTGAGCACTGCTGCCTTCTAAATCTTTCTTTCCCTGTGCAGACGAATTCTAATTACAGCATTTCACATTCCCTGATTTCTAGGAAACCAGTGTACAAGACTTGATGATTTTCTCTTTTTTTTTTTTTTAATAATTATTTTTCTCTGATTTTTATCAAGTTGTTTTTTGCTTCCCTTCCCTCTCCCCTTTCCCTCCTCGCTCCGAAGTCTTGGCGATGCACGAGAACGTGTTGAAATGCCCCACGCCAGGCTGCACAGGACAGGGTCACGTCAACAGCAACCGCAACACACACAGAAGGTACCAAGCTTTGACTTCTCCTCCCTAGCAGCCAGGGCAAGGATGGCAGCAGGGCAACCGTCCCCAAAAACCTTGGCTCAGTCTCACACTGAGAGATGGTGCAACTAAGATGGGCAAAGCCTAAGGCAAAGAATAATGTGGGAAAGCAAGCTGGGGCAGTATTTTCTGGCTGGGGAATAGAGCAGAGCAATGTTTCCAGGTTTGCAGGTGGGACCATGGAGGGACAGATGCAGGTGGGGGTTCATGGAAGAGGTGTTTGGCACTGGGGACGCAGAGGGTGCCTGGCGAGGCCAACTGGAGGGTGATGTTTGTGTCTGGGGGTGTGGCACTGGGCAGGATTTCTAGGAATTTCCACAGGCTTTCGGCTGAAATTATTGATGAGCTGGGAATTTAGGTCTTCTCGGTGTAGGACCTCAGCCCAGATGTGGGCAGGAGGGGACAGGGTTGTGCTTTAGGGTCTGTAATTATACCCCGTGCTCTGGCTTTGGTCAAACTCCAGCACTTTTACAAATGGGAAGGCTGCAAGCAGAGTGGATGATGCTCTTAGAAGCTAGAAACCTTCCGAAAAGCCAGACTAGCTCGTGCTACAGGGAGGTGCTCATGAATTTATGATTTACCATTCATTGCACTTGAGCTTAGCTGGGAGGGAGTGACAGCTCTGCCAACGTTGATGCATCTGCAGGTGAGAGGTGAGTTTGTGTCACTACTCGTTCAGCCGTGGAGGAAGCTGGTGGATGCTTCATTGTAGCCATAGCTGCTAGAGGAAAATCAGGGAAATCTGCTCCGTTAATCGAGAAGCTGGGTTTGGTACAGGCAGCAAGCGATCACGGTGAGAATGAGGTGACCCACTGGTGTCAGTGGGTTGTGGGGTGAGCTTTGGGCACAGCAGTTTGGGCTGAGACCTGGTGGGGTCGGAGCTCTGAATGGGGGCTGAGATGGGGGTCCCTTGGTGCTGGCTGCTCTGGTGATGGCTTGGAGTCAGCTGGGAGGTTGCAGGCTCTGCTTGTGAGGGGTTTTTACCTTCCCTGAGCGATCGCCGTAAGCTCCAAGCTGGTCCCACAGAGGCAGAGCCAGGCTCACGTGCAGGGTGTGTGCAAGCAAAAGCCATTACAGCCCCCGAGCTCCCCCGGCACCGGCGCTGGCAGCCGTGCACATCAGAAGTGCAAATGTTTCCCTGCAAGTGCTCCTCAGAAGGCTCCCTGCAAACAGCCCCTGCAAAAGATCTAAATAAATACAAATCAAAAATGCCATTTCCCTGCTAAAACCACTCCAAGAAACCAGCCCGTCCCCATCTGCCTCTGCTGTGCTCAGCTCCTTGACCCACCTCCGGACCCTGGGGATGCTCCAGAGCTCATCCCAGAGAGATGTGCCACTTGATGTCTGGCGGCTTTGCTGCTTGCCAAGACTAAAAGTAAACTAAGATAATAATAATTTAAAAAGCCCTTAAATGCAAACACTTTTCCCACGGGCTCAGTGCAGCTCTGGGTCCCTGGAAGGAGTGAAGATGTCCATACTCATCCCTCATGCTTCATTTCCTTCTCTTTTTTTTTTTCTTCCTTTTTTTTTAAAAAAAAAACCCAAAAACCAAACCCAAACTCCCACAGTTTATCTGGGTGCCCCATTGCTGCTGCAGAAAAATTAGCCAAATCACATGAAAAGCAACAAACCCAGTCTGGTGATCCTTCGAAGACCAGCTCCAATTCCGACCGCATACTCAGGTAAGCGGGACCGCGAAGCCCTGCGCCGCGTCACTGCGCGTCCCCAGCCCTCCCCGGCACGCCACGCTCGCAGGAGCAGCCGGCACGGCTCCCTCCGGCTGTATCCTGATACTGCTGAGTCCTGTGATTATGATCATAGGTCTCGCCAAGGTGGGGAGATATTTAATTGATGATCCCAGGGAGGGCATTGAGGACAATGAATTGCTTCTGTAGCATCAATTAATGCTGAGGCTACAGGCCAAAGGGTTTCAGCAGGGAAGCAGAAGGCATTTGTGCCGATGGCTCTGCAATGCAAACTGCCAGAGAATGATGGCTATTATATTAGCATTATAAGTAGGGTGGGCTCGGGGAGGAGGAGGTTTAAGCTACATATAAATCACTCGATGGCAGTTCTGCCTAAGTCTTTACCCGCTTTCCTTCCTTAGCCCGCATGGTTCAGAGGAGAGAAACCTGCCACTCATCTCCAAACCCGTTGGGTTTATTTTGTGATTTTGCCCATCTCCATCTTCCCAGGAGAAAGGGCTGTCTCACGTTCAGGATGTCCCTGATAGATGCTGGCTTCCGTAGCTGATGTGATTCATGAGGCTGCAGATGGGTTGTAATCTGGTTAGTTATTTTGCAACGAGAGGAGGATAAAACCCACCGTACGAGCCCTGAGCAGCTGAGCAGCACTCCCACAAAGGCAGCCAGGTCTGATTAATTTATTTATTTGCTCCCCAGGACTGCTGAGCACCCTGGTGCTTTGGAAAGGCCATTTAGAGCCATTACTTATTTATTTGCAGCGGAGCCCGTGCTGGGTGCGGAGGGCTCTGAGCGCATCGTGAGGATGGTCCATGCTCCAAGGAGCTCCCGCTCCGAGGACTCACTCGTGGAAAGAGGTCACGGGAAGGAGAATAACAATAGGCCATTTATAGACGATTTATATGCAAGACAAATTGATTCATGATAGGCAGCCCAGCAGAAGCAGGTCTTTAAGAAGGACTCCGCAGCAGGGGAGAGGCTCTGGTGCCTTTGCAATGAATCTGCAGGGAGGAACCGAGCTAAACTGGGGTCCTCACACCTTCAGGTGCCAGCCTGTGTTGTAGGTCCCATAAGTGAGTGATGCCCGAGTTTTTAGTGCTGTTGGAAAACGCTGCCATGCCACAGCAAGAATATTGTTTTGCATGAGATTGATGCTGCGGTGTTTTGCTTAAAAAGAGGGGGGGGTAAAATAAAAAGAGGGTAAAAAAATAAAAAAGGACTCTAAGAGACCCAAATCAGATGCAGACTTGCTGAGGGAGAGCAAAGGGCTGTCACCGCCTCCTCTTCCCCAGTAACCCCTCGGGGACAAGGCGCAGCTATGCATCCTCATCGCATCTGGTCCCCTCCCAACGACCATCTCGTCAAGGTCAAGAGAAATCACTGTTGCTCCTTGTTTCATCCTCAGGCCTATGTGCTTTGTGAAGCAACTGGAGATCCCTCAGTATGGAAGCTACCGGCCCAACATGGTCCCAGCAACGCCCCGGGCCAACCTGGCCAAGGAGCTGGAGAAGTACTCCAAGGTCACCTTCGATTATGCAAGTTTTGATGCTCAGGTTTTTGGCAAACGCATGCTTGCCCCAAAGATTCAGACTAGCGAAACCTCACCGAAAGCCTTTAAATGTAAGTTGGGAGCAGGGATGGGCTGGGCTTTGCATTTTTCTGCCTTTCGCAGCGTCTCGCGAGGCTTTGGGGTGATGGGAGAGTCTTGGGGCTGAGCTGCTGGACCAGGAGCAGGGGGAGAAACGGGGATGGGGAAGGCTGAGATAGGTCCTGTGGCACGTACTTTTGGGGGAGAGAGGAGCCCCTGGCTGCCAGTAAAGCTTTACTTGGGGGAGAGCCTCTTTGGCTTTGGGAAGAATTGCATCGAGTGGTGGGAACATCAATTTGAGCGATGTCTCTAGGTGGGATAAGTTACACAGTTGTCCTCAGTCGGTCCCCGCTGCTTTGCAGTTCATATCTATTGATCTGTCTTTCCTCATCTAGCTAAATGGATTATAGTTTTCTTCTCTTCCATCTTATATACGACCCACTCCAGCCATTTGTCTTCTCTGCCACGCTCTGCTCTCCAGCTCTGCTACCTATCGATCACCCACCTCCCACCTCCCGCCTCTCTCCCGTCGCAGCCACCCACCTCCGCTCTGTACCGAGGACCGTGCACTGGTTACAACACTGTGCAACCGAAGTGTAGGGGGGAAATGAAATGGGCAAATAAACCCTCAGGGGCTGGGCTGTCGGGAGCAGGAGGGGAGCTGCAGGGGGACCCAGCCTGCCGCAGACCAATGTTCAACCTCTCCATTCCCTTTGAGACCAAATGTGTACCTGAAGACGTCTTTTTGAGAAAAAAAAAATAAAAAAAATTTAGGAGCCCAGTTTGCAGAAGTCAGCAGCCTCCAGAGGGCTTTCTGTCTGGCTAATCCCAGTTCCACAATCCTGTTTAATCCTGATGCAGCTGCTCTCTAAAAAGTGCTCGTACTTGAAAGCATCCCGGTTGTTGCACGACAATGGAAGCGCCCTTTATTACAGTACTAAATCTGCAAAGGATCAGACAATGAAATTGGATGGAGGCCAGAGAGCACAACTGCCACTGTCATCCTGGGTTAGGGCTGATGGAAAAGTAATTTGTTTCCCAGCACAAGTGATTCTCTTGCTGAATAGATTGTGTTATTTGCAATATTAGCAAAGAATTTTCAGGGTAATTGTACTGACAAAAATAATTCCAGCAGACCCACTAGGATAATCCTTTCTATTTTTTCTCATCACTTATTTTACTAATTTGCTGATTGCGAGTCTATTAGTGGTAGAAATACTTATGAAATGGAAAAGCATCACTGAGCCTACGGTGTGAAATTGAAATTGGCATCTCACGATCCCGGATATTGTCAGGTTGGGCTGGCGAATACCCGCACCCCGCCGCAAAGACATGGATTAAACTGGACTGGAAAACAAGCAGCCAGAGACAAGAATAACCATTTGGGCAAAGCTCCAATGAGTTAATCAAAGCGACAAGATGAATATGATTGCCAATCATAGCAGGGAAATCTGTTCCTTTCACTGAGAACTTCTTTTAAAGAGATCTTCATCCAGAGGGATTTATATTCCCCTGCATGTGTGTGCATAACTCCCATTAATGTCAATACGCATTATATACGCACACAATGAGGAAGAAAGCGGTCCTCGGGAAGATTAGCATTTTATAGTGTCTTATATTATGAGTTTGTAACAGGAAGAATGAAATTGCTTTGCTCTGTAGCCACATCGACCGAGGTTGTCTTGCTGCTTCGCCACCATCGGGCCAAAGCTTGGGGTCTTCCCTGGCGAGACTCCCACTGAGGAGGGTGGGGTTTTTCCTCCCAAAAAGGGCACAGGAAAATGAGTCAGGAATTTTTTTTATTTTGCTAATTGATTCAGAATACAGTGCTGTGACTGTTCAAAATCAGATGATCCCTGGTTTGCACCCACTGGAACCACTGACTTCAGAGGGACTCTCAGGGGCTCAGGGTCCTCCTGAACAGGTCCAGGTTCAAGACTAGGGCAAGTTTTATTGTGGGTTAGCCCTGGGAAATACTCGCTTTCATTTCATAGGGTGTAAAGAGAAATTGCACCTCCAGGATTGCACGGCTGCAGGCTGTGACATAGAGGAACACTGCGGTGCCGCAGCCGCGCGCGGCTGTGTAATGGATCCTGTTATTCAGGCACGTTTAAATGATGCGTCAGCTGTCAGAAAAATCCATATTTCACTGGTGTCATCATCGGAAGCTCATATTTCATGGCCAGGGTTTTGCTATTAATGTAATTTTTTAAATCGTAAGTTTTCAAATGTGCTACAAGAAAGTCAGCTCTGCAGATAAGTTATGAACAACAAAAAAAAGCGCCAGGAACCTTATCCAAGCTTTCTGCTTTCACTGCTTCCACCGAGGAGCAGCTTTAATGAAGAAAAGCACTCATTGTTTGGGGACTTGATGGCAGAGTCGGTTAATGAATTAAGTTTTCACACCCAGAGACCTTTGCACAAGTTGCAGCCAGCACTGTTCTTGTTGCACATCCCAGGCAACAAAATAGCCCGTGGACTGGGAATAACCATGGGGTACCACTGGAACCATTGATATGAACCTGTGTCAGACTGACTTGACCTCTCACCACTGCTTGTGACGGTTATACATCAGCCTTGTGTTGTTCCTTCTCTTTTTATTCCAGCCAAACCTTTTCCAAAGGCCTCTTCCCCCAGCCACAGCCCCTCCAGCAGTTACGTGAAGAGCACTTCATCTTCCTCCACAGGCTTCGACTACTCCCACGACGCCGAGGCTGCGCACATGGCTGCCACTGCCATCCTCAACCTCTCCACCCGCTGCTGGGAAATGCCGGAGAATCTCAGCACCAAGCAGCAAGAGGCCCCCGGCAAGGTGAGATGAGCGTGCACGGGGACCACCAGTCCAGGACGTTGTGGAGTGGGTTAAAATTTGACATTTGGGGTGGGAGAAATATACCTTTTTTCACCCTCCCTTTCATTTTGGTGTTTAAATATAGAGGGAATGCAGAGACTCATGACACCCTTTCTCTTTGGGTGATGAATTTCAGAGGAGGTAATCTTGGCTCTCCGTGTGTTATGGAGATGCGATGTGGTTCAAATTACCCACCTGAGATGAGCATCATTCCCAAGCAGAGTCTCAGGGCTGGTTTCAGTTGCTCACTGCTCTGTATCTGATGCCATTTGAGATTCCCCACTTGCGTCCAGTTGACCTCCAGCTGTTTTTCAGATGAACACAGGTTTTTTCCTGAAGTCCCAGCCTTGGGTAGATGTCTTGGATGCGATGAGGCATCTTAAATGGCACTAGATGCCTGTGTTCAAGTAACTGAGTCAAAATGCCACCTTGCTGTAGCAGTGGAGTGCATTTGCATTGCATGTTTCTGAAATATTTATGAAAGGGCATCCCTTCCCTTCAGTTCCTTCAAACTGACTGTGGGGAGGATGGGACATGAATAACCTGCCCCTGACACTGCAAAAGACAAATGGGAGCGAGATCCCCGTAGGGAATTGCTGGCAGCTGCTAACGTTGGGCGTTTCCAACCTTTCAGTCCATGGACATTGAGGTGGATGAAAACGGGACTCTGGACTTGAGTATGAACAAGCACCGCAAACGGGAGAGCACCTTTCCTAGCAGCAGCAGCTGCAGCAGTAGTCCCAGCATGAAGTCCCCAGATGTGTCCCAGCGCCAAAACAGCACCAGTGCCACGAGCAGCACCATGACCTCCCCCCAGTCCAGCCAGACCTCCCGCCAGGACGAATGGGATGGACCCATTGACTACACTAAACCAAACCGTCAGCGGGAAGAGGAGCCAGAAGAGGTGAGTGGTGACTCTGGATGTTTAAGTGGCACCTCATGGGGGACTGAATGCCACGTTTGCTTCCATAGTTGTCCTATTTTCTCCCCAAACCTCTACTCTGACCTTTAAGCCTAGGAAAGAAGTATTATTAGCTTCATCAGGGCTACCAGAATAGCTGCAGACAATCAGGCAGGAGGCAGAGCTGTCCTGGGGTGAACGCGGGTGCTCCCAGCTCCATTGGGATGTTCCTGTCAAGGAAGAACGCACCACTTGCATCGTCCTGGTGCTGCCGTTCTTGCTTCTTTGTAAATCGTTTCAGCTCATTTGCACCAGCGATGCTCCTGGTGATGTTCCCCAGGATGATTTATATCTACCATTAGCAGATGCCACTAACATTAATCCTTGCAGGTGGGGGAACTCAGCCATCCCCTCTCGGCTGGGTGAGTTGAGGATGAGTATGGGGGGATTGCACCACTCTTCATCCCTTCAAGATCTTGGGAGAGTCAAGTGTAAACCCCTGTAAAGATGTGTTTTATGCATTTCTCCTATTAAAAAGGGAAATTAGACTATTTGATCTTTGCTTTGGGTACTGCGAGGTGCTTGCAAAGGGCTGAGGAGCGTTGGCCGTGCTGCACTAACTGGGATGAGCCTGGGATCCTCTCCCACCATAGGGAATGGCCACCACTCCAACCACTTTCCCTGGCTGTTTTCTTGCAGTCAGAGCCTGCCGCCCACTCTTTTGCCTCCTCGGAAGCTGATGAGCAAGAAGTGGTGGAGGAAAACTTTGAAGAACGGAAATACCCAGGGGAAGTTACTTTAAGCAACTTCAAGCTTAAATTCCTCTCCAAGGACATCAAGAAAGAGCTGCTCACGTAAGTCCTGCCTTCTTGTCGCACAGGGATGGAGCCTGTCTGATTTCCTGCCCCCTTGTTTTGGGACACTGGGTGATGCTGGATGAGCACGGGACACTGGTGCTCACTGGATGAGCACCCAAAGGATCTCAGTACCTTCTTGATGGGGGTGTTGAACCTCAAGTTGCATCGCTGGGAAGGCGAGACTTGCTGGCTGCTTAACGTAGGGCAACGAGTCCCATCACTGTGATACCGCAGGGCCACAGCAAGAGAATTGGGGCTGCAGCAGGATTGCTGTCATGCTGCATCTTAGACTGGAGAGGGATCTTAACCCAGCTCACATCTGGATATTCATGGCATTGGGTGGGTGGAAACAGAGCCCCAGATCTGTTCTATTAGATGGACTATTGCTCTGCATCCTCACTGCTCCCCAAGCTAACAGTTAATGTTTAGAGTCTGGCTCAAACTCTGCAGCTCGGATCTGATGGCACGTCGGGATTGGGCTGGATGCTGTGATGGGGAGGTCTCCCCTCCCCGGCGTCCCAGCAGATCTGCTGCGTGTGGGCCTGCGTGTCTGACCTTCCCATATGTTAAACAGGGAAGAGTCGTCGGGCATCGTTGTGCTGACCTTACACAACGTGGCTCATTATTTGTCCGTGCAAGGAGGGGGCTGAGGGAGCAGCCAGGCAGGGGGGAGAACTGCAGGGACAGAGCAGCAGCAGCATCTTCCCTAAAAGAGCAAAGCACAGACCAGCTGCCCTGTGCAAATCTCAAAAGGCTTTTTTAAAACCCAGCAGTGATGTGAATGGCAATTTCTGAGGTAGAGCCCTGAAATCCTCCTGTTCTTTAATTGTATTATGAAGGTAAAGAAATTTCCTAAATGGAAACAGCCCTGGAATAAATAAATGGTGTCACCGGCAGCCCTGAGCCTTCTCTCCCCATTTAGCATCCTTGCTCCTTTCTGGCCCGAGGGCTGTAATGAATTAGCCGTAGTTAACTCAGGAGCAGACTTACCCACTGTGTTTGTTTGATGCTCCATGTCTGGGTGTAGTTCTTGGGCCATCTCCAGGCACTGATGGCCATCGCTGTGCTCCTCACCTCCGTCTTCTTGCTGCCCCGCTGCCAGCACACGAGTGGGTACCGTGTAGCAATCCATCACTGCTGCTCCAACATCTTCCCATCAGCGCTGGCTCCAGGGCTCAGTGTTTGTGCGGGTGCTGTGGCTGTGAAAGGGACTCGAGGGTGAGCAGGGACTAGCTGCATCCCCAAGCCTCAACCTGCCAGGACAAACTGTCCCAGGACATCCCTGCAGAGTATCCCAGGAGATCCCTGAACTATCCCAGAACATCCCTGTGCTATCCCAGGAGATCCCTGCAGAGTGTCCCAGGACAGGACATCCCTGGAGAGTGTCCCAGGACCCCCCTGTGCTATCCCAGGATATCTCTGCTCTCTTACATACCCCCTGGCCCCAGCCTCACTGCTCATGCACAAACTGAATTTTATTCCCTGGGCACCGAGAAGGGATGACACCTTTTCCCACAGCTGTGCAAGTGCAATCCATGGGGGAGGCAGCGGATGGGGACTGGTGGGAAACACTGGCGAGGGCAGCAGGGGGGATGCGGCAGCTTCTGTCTGTCCTCGATTTAGGAGCCCCCAGGCATGTGAGTCAGAGGTTACTTTTATTCCCTTTACGGAGTGAACAGTGTTTTCAAGCTTTTCTTTGCAGCTATAAGGGCCGGGGAAAAAAATAAAACACAAACCCAACTAAACAAAAAAATATATCCCAAAACATTTCAGAAAGCTGAAATCTGACGCTTTCAGGGAATAAGCTGATTCCCGCAGCCAGAGCTTCAATATTGCAAAAATCATCCAAATTGGCACCACCAAGACAGTGACGTTCGTGCCTGTTCCTTTATGCCACCCAGCAGGTTGCTTTCAGTCTTCCACTGCCACCGAGCAAACCCAGCAGCTACGTACTTTAAGCATCTTTTTCCCATTTGCCACAAATTTTTTCAATTTTTTCAAATATTTTTTCAGGATCTGTGTGATCTTTTGGGAACACAAAAGGGAGGAAACGAAGCTGAAAAGGG